ACAGGTTTTATGAAAACAGCAGTTAACACAAATAGTCACATGTCTGAGCTAAAATACAACAGATGGCAGTGATCTTCAGTCATTTTCCACAGTTTTCAGATATGGAGAAGTATCGGTAGTATATTTTCTTCTCAATTGCCCTTTTATCACAGCTAAAGAAAGACATGATTTACTTAAATACATGTAATGTGTATCAGGTAAGGCATGCAAGCATCCCAACATAGCACCAATATACCAAAATTCAACTATATAATTCATATGTAATTACATAAATCAATCTATTTCATAAAAATAAGGATTTTTTTCTCTCCAGATCGATATTTTCTATATATTTTTAAGTGACTATCTTTATGATTTAGTAAAGTCATGATTAGTGTTGAATATCATAAAGTCATTAACTTAATACCAAGTCTCCCATCCACCCACAGCAGGAAAATAAGCAGGTAAGAGAAAACCTGCATTCCCAGCACACAAAGTCTGATGCTTTCTGCCAAGGAATACTGCAAAGCAAAACACCGTGGCTGTTGGGAACATCCAGAAATCATTTTTGTCCTCAGGGACTCTATGAACTAGTGAGCAGGACTGTCCTGTACGTCAGATGCCCCCGAGGAATTTGGCTGACTGCTTGAAAGCAGCATGGACAGTCCGATGGAAATGCACCCTCCATGCTCACCAGAACTGGTAAGGAGATTTACCCTCTTCATTGTTGCTACTGGCTTGTCTGCATCCTTTTCCTGTTTCTCTCTGTTCCTTTTCTCTTTTAAAGTATTCTTCATCCAGAGCCAAATTCTGTCAGATTCTGAAGAGGATATGTAACTCCCAAGTTTAAGCATTAGATGGAGCAAAGGCTTATGAAGAAGTAACTAACATGGCATCATCTCTAAATGATTTGGTCTCCTTTTGTTTGGGAAGGCAGTCTGAGACCTGTGGATGTCTGAACTGGACTCATTCTCCATATTGCTCCTGAATATAAAGAAAGGTATAGATCTGCTCTGGAGAGGCGTGTCCCAATTTTTGCTTGGGAGACCTATCTTCAGAGAGTACATTTCCAACAGACTTCATGACGTCTTTTAAATAGAAGAGGACTGAAGAAAACAGGATGAAAACTGGCACAACTGCCAACATCCTCAGTCTAGAGAGCTGATTGCCTTCACTGTTTAGAATGCAACCGCAAGCCTGAATATGATGAAAAGTAATCCTGATCTCATAGCTCAGTAATCTGTGCTTAGTGGCAGGCAGAGATCTCTTATCCCTGTTAAAACTTGTAGATGTGTAAATGATTTTTTATATTAATAATGTTAGTTACTGCTGATCTGAGCTACTCTACTCCTGCGTGATACTTGAGCAGAGTTTTATGCTTGAGGAGCATAAAGCAACTTCTCTGACATGGGCAACTCTGCATCCACTGCCTCCTCTCCCACAGGAAGTTCCCTTTTAGCTAAAATGAGTTAGAAGCCTTCTGGAAGTTACATGAGGTGCCCGCGGTCCTTCTGTCATTGCTGATCCTGGTGGTACTTGACTCTTTGTCTGATTTTTTTTTTTATGTCAAGCAGATGGAGTGGAGTCTTTGCTTTGCAATTCTTTCGTCATGGCAGGAATTCTGGAAAGTGTGCACTACCTGATGGCCAATAGGTATGGGACTGGACCAGTGCTCAAGGGTTGGAACCATCGGCTGAGGAAAAGGAAAATGCACATTATCTAGGCTTTTGATGAAAGGGCTGAGTGCCATTAGTAAGGCTCAGAAACTGCTGTTCCTTGTATCCTAGCTGCTCCCATCTTCTCAAGAAGCAGCCGTTATGAGGCATTTGAGTCCAGTAAGGCACTACCTTCATCAATGAACTGTGGCTTGTGAAGGGCACTGAGTACAGGGAGAGCCAGGCCCATGCTCCTCCACAGATAGTGGCTGGGCACCACCAGTTTCTGAAAGCAAAGTGAGCTCACTGTCCCCCTCCAGCATCAGCTGAGCTCTGACCAGGGGTGGAAGGCTTACTCTTATCGAGTGCTATGAGGTAGGAGGGGCTGAAAAGTCCGAAGAGTTTCCACAGACCTGACTTGCACTTAGTTAACAGTACAGTCCAGATGCATTATTAATCCAGACATACATACTGCAAGGCTGCCAGGAGCCTTTCCTAAGTCAGTGATAAGATAATATATTTTGGTGCATGGCAGAGTTCTGCTTGGGAGATGATGTTTATAATCTGTTGCAATTTTTAAAATGGATACTGTGTACCTCCAAAGACTAATGATGGATGTGCATTGGCAGGGGCACACTCAACTCGTTCATAAATTATTGCAGAGAAGCTCGATCATATGCTCTTTCGGAACTATTGTCCAGTTTTTGGAGGCAGTCTAGTGATTTGTTTTAATGCCTTAGTTCTGAGTTAACAGTGCCCAGGGGCTCCCACTGAAACAGGGCCGGGCCTTCACAAAGTCAATAGTTTATTTACTGACTAAGAATAAAGCACTGGGGAAGGTGTTTGAAGATGTTAGTAATGCTTTTCATTAGCTGAAGATGGCATTTAGGTCTTGATCATGGCATGTTTATTCATTAATTTCAGTGAAATCACAGGCCTGTTTGCAGGGTGAAAGTAACAGTGAGACCTGGTGGGGCAAAAGAAAGGGAGAAAAGGCAGAGATTGTATGTGTGTTCACCCCTTTGAGAAGGAGAAACAAAAAACAAATCAGCAACCGAGATGATTTTGTGCCTTATTAAAAACCAAGCCAAAGTAACAGAAAATGCACTGCCATAAGTTTCTTTTGCCCCTAAGCCGTTATCAACGACATTTGTTAATACGTATCTCCTAGATACAGCTTAACCACTGGTAAGGTTAACAAATCAATTTTCCTTGCTAAATACACTTAAAGTTTAGATGGGTTAATTCATATCTATCAGGAAAAATAGCATCTTCGGTCCCACCCTATCTTCTTCACAGGACTTCTTCTATTTATGGTAAATCTCCATAGTCTATTGAGTTGACTCATTATTTAATACATTCTTCTTTCTGCTTGGATGTGTCAAATTAAGGGGGCTGCTTTCCTCAGTACTTGAACCTGACTCTATCATCTTCCCTGCGCTCCTGTTGCGGTGACTTCCCCTCAGCCTGCAAGGGCACGGCTTTAGCCTTTCCCGGCGCCCGGGAATCGCACCTTTCCCATTCCGTGGGCTTGGTAAAAGGCAACGCTCACAAACCGCACATTTTGCGTCAAGAAACCCGCATCGGGGGACACTGCAGCCGGTGACGAGAGGAAATCACTGCAGCCTGGGACTGGGAAGGGAAGGGACACCCTAGCACCCTCTGTCATCGCCCGTACGAACTATAACTGACAAAAGCAGTGATCTAATGAAGAGCTCCTATTTTACAGATCCTTCCTATGGCCATGTGTGGGCTCCAGGACAGGAGAGCAGCCCAGATAACCACGGAGCCAGGGAGGGAGCCTTCCGGGTGGGATGCTGCCAAACCCTCGGCAAGCTGACGGAGGGCAGATTTGGGCCGAGAAGGAGGGGTCTTCTCCTGTTGTCTTTGTTTCCGTTTCTAATGACGATGTCACACTATTTCCACGGCTGATCCTGCTGCATAGCTGGGTCGCAAAGAGTTAAAATGGAGAGCAGCATGTGCACTTTTAAAACTACATGCGACAAAGTCCATCGCTTGAAGTCCGGGTCCCTTCTCCCCCCACCCCTCCCCAGCTTCCAGCAATCATTTATTATAAAGGGGTTTTATGATACAAATTTGATAATCTCCCATACACATTGGCACTGTTCTAATTGGAGTTGTAAGCCCATAAAATTCAAGCCCTTTGTTTTCATGAAGGCCACAAGGTTTTAAAAGATACTATTGTACCGCCTAAAACCCATAAAATTGTCACTAGGGACTGATTAAACAGTCCTGAATTGAAACAGTGCGGATTTTGTCTAGGTCCTTTTCATGCACAACAATGCTCTTTTCAACCCCCAAGACAAAAGGAGGTTTAAGGAGCGATTCTCGGGGAGATTCTTCTAAGATAACCCCATCCATATGGGAGACAAGGTGGCCAGCAGCTGAGACGAAAAAAAAAAAGAGGAAAAAAAAGAAAAAAAGATTTCGGATGGCAGGAGGAAAATAAAGGGAAGGGGGGGGGGGGGGGGGGGGGGCAA